GGGGGGTTTAAAAAAATTAATGACAGACACAATTAACTTTTAAGTACCTATGTTTGGGGATTTAAAAAAATAAATTTAATCAAAGTACAAAATGTATTTTCTAAAACGAACAATTCGTTATTTATTCATGAGTTTTTTTTGGTGGCTGAACTTTGTTTTTGTGAGAGAGTTATGTTTATCATTTCTCTTATTGCGATACTAGCTTTTAAAAGAATAGTATGCATCTTGGCAATGCTTCGCATAAGGCGGAAAATGTGCCTGCGCTTAATTCTTTTTTAATTTTACTCTTCACTGATATTTTTATTTTATTATTTTGCCCACCTAAATTTTTGGGGGGTTTTTTGTTTTTTTTGGGGGGAGCCTAATTTTAAAAAATTTTTAATTTTTAGATTTACAGAAAGTATTAACGAGAAGTTTCGATCTAATCATGATCTTCACCTTCCTGATTTAGTGTATTATTTTCATTTTGATCTTTTTTACATCTTATTTCTAGAGACATCGTATATTAATTATGAATTCAGGGATAGGAAAAAGGACACATTTCTCTTTTGTGTTAAGAAAAAAAACCCGAAAGGTTTCACAGAAGACGCAATAACAAAAAGAAAATGAACTTTAAGTCCGTGGGTTTGTATGTTTACGCTTATAAATATTTCTTTGGTACTAGCTGAGAATTTATCTTCAATAACGTGGGATTGGAAAGATGTATATTATATTTATGTATAAACGCGCGCAAAATACCCCAAAATACCCCCAACTCACACTCACATTCACACACAGGGAGAAAGAGAGAGACAGAGAGAGAGAGAGAGAGAGAGAGAGAGAATTCTGACAGCAAGCCAAACGCAAAAAAAAGAAAGTAATGGAATCTTTCGTCTTCTCTAGGATAAGAATGTGAAACGAACTCAAGATAAGCCTCAGATGAATGAATCTTATAAGGCCACGTCAGGGCACGTGATCCTAGAGGTCAAAATGATAATACATTCAGCTTGGAATCGGGACGAGAAATCAATCCTGGATCCCCCCCCC